CATCTACCTTATGTCCAGCCAGCCCCACTAAGACATTTCTAACAAAACTTGTAGTTAAACTGCTACAGCTTTCTCCTCCTCCCCTCCCTGTCTCTCTTCCATGATCTGACTCTTAGTTCTACCAACAAATCTAGAAATAGGGTGAAGATGCCAGATATTTTTCTTCCTAAGCAGCTCCCGCCCCCAAACCTGCAATTCCAAGTCCAGAAAAATCTGTAGTTTGGCTCTCTTCAAGGATTGCAAAGGCTTCCACATGTATTTGTGAAAGTCCTTTTCCCTTGAGAGCATGGAGGCTGAAAATAAAGCTTTCCTTCAGGAAAGCTGCCTCCTCCTCAGGGACAGCTTCCAGGAATGGTCTTGGATAGATGAAGGAGCAGGGGTCTGAGTTCATAGCTTCATGCCATTGATGACATTAAGAGTGAAGTGAACATTGAGTTCAGGACTCTTCTCACCATATATCTTGCTGTAAAGAGAACAAGCCAGAGTCCAGTCCCTCAGGCATTGTAGAAATTGAAGAGAACCCTAGACAAAAGACTTGGCACTATGACTTTCAAAGTCACTTCACTGTAAGTGAATCACTCAGCTTTTCAACCTCAGTTTTTCATTCTGTATGATTGGATAACATTCACCTTGCTTCTGCATGAGGCTTCATGGAAAAACAAGTAACAATACATGTGAAAGTAGTCTTTAAACAGTAACATATCATAAAAATAATACATGTATTATTAGTTCTGACCATTACATCACCCTCAGGCAGTGCTAAAGCTCAGGCTTTTGCTTAAAGTTAACCTTGTTCAATGTTATCCTTCCTCTACTCTGATATTACAAGCAACTTATTTCCAGCTTCATTAATCATTTTCCTGGGTGACTAGGAGGTAGGATCCTGTCAGGAAAAAAATTAAGCACTTCTTTCTTCTGGGGCTATAAGTACCTGGGCTATTATTGAAGTGAATTTGGATTTCTATATTCTATGTTTATAAATCAATTTCCAATTCCTGTAAGACTCTGGCAGCACTTAAATCTCATTTTGGAAGGAGTTATACATGAACTTGCTTACCCATTTTGGGCATTAAGGTGGACATGATATTAATTAGCAAGGCTGATCATTTGCATGCTGTAATGATGATTTACACCTGCAATTTCCCCAATGGCCTCCTTTCTTTCTATTTATGATCTAAGTTTTGTTCAGAATGGCGTTGAGGGAATGAGAAAATTACCTGCAATTCTTGTTGTCTGATCTGAGACTGTCACAACAGTTTACTACTCTGGGAGTGGGAACATCTAGAACAGGCTCCTAGAGAGAGCTCCTAATTCCTTTTTCTCACATGTACAGGGATTTCCTGTACTGGACTCTGGTGAACCAATCTTCAGGGTCATAGCCAGACAGCTGGGTGCCTCACTGCTGCCAGCACCAAGGGCTTGATAAGAAACCTCACTTAGATATCTGGAGAAAAATATTCTACCATCCCAGGGAGCCTTAGGGTTAGCTGCTTGAGATGCCCCAGAGGCATGGTTCAGAGCAACACTTCCCAAATACATCTGATGACAGATCTCTCCCAAGATGCTGGTTCAGAGCATAAGCCCTGATATAAGACACACCTAATCCATCTCCAAGGCAGGGTCCCCAAATGCCTTTTAATTTTCATGATTTGAGGCAACACTGATCCAGCAGGGATGATCTATAGGTTGAGAGTCTAAGGATCCAACAAACTTCAGACATCACTAATAGGTTGATACTTTCTCCATCTATTAAAGGGGAGGGCAGATACCAAAGACAATATCTGTTAGCCCAGTCTCTCTCAAAAGCTGCCTAAGATCCAATCAGATTTTTATGTAGAGTTTGCAGACTACTAGTAATACATAGTGATGTGGCTCTAAGCCTTGGGCTTGGGTGGCTGTCCCTTCCCACCTGAGTGTGCCCAGTCCCGTGCCAAGTACAGAGTGAGGAAAAGGTGGGGAGGTACCACCTCTCAAGTGAGAACTGCCTGTATTAGGTAAGTGGGTGGTGATATGTTGAGCAGCAAGGCTGAGCCCCAAGGGAAGCAGATACTGAGTACTCATCAATGTGTTTGTGTGGAAAAGCTCATACACACGTCCTGGTCCATGGTAGTGGTCCCCAGCTTCCTAGTGAGGGTATGTATGGCCTAGAAAAGTGGTCCATCCACCAGGGGACACTTCCCATCACCTGCTTCCACACTCCCTCCCCCACCTCATCCTGACTCAGCTGTGATTCACAGGTACACACAGCAGCCCCTGCATCATCTTTCTGGTTCCCTGATGCTCGTCCACCCTGTCCTAGTTTACTTCTTTTCAGTTCAGACTTTTGAAGATTGGCTTTTTGGATTATAGGCATATCTTTATATGAATGAACACACATACCACATAAATATCAAAATATTCCCATTTAGATTTTATAAAACATTTTAAATCTCTGAGTTTATTGTAAAGTATCCATAACACTATTTCCTATTATATGAATAGAATCTCCTAATTCTTTTTTTGGGCACGTCTTCTTCTCCCTATAAATTGGAGGGACATATAACTTCCCCACTTAGTGGACAGAGAACACATCTCTCTCATTACACAAGACTGTTCTATATCCAGTAAAACCAGGAAGGAAGCTAACATGTATAGGCACTTCCTATTCAGGACATGCTATCAAGAGGGGAAAAAAGGAACATTTAGCACAAAGTCACAGGCACCAAAGATAGGTAAGTTTTACCTTGTCTATTCAGCCCTATTCCCTGTCCACATACCCAGAAACAACTGCTTTTTCTCTCTACTGAAAAGCCAGAGTGATTCATGCAGCCCTACAGAGAACCTGGTCCCCATCCCCACTCAGGTTATTTCATTAGCCTACCATCTTCTTTGCATTTTTAATTGTCAGTCTATAGTTCCGTTATCCTTGGAATTGGAGGTTTCCAATTTTAATAATTCTTTTTCATTGTTCTCCTCAACCTTCACCAAAATCATATATGCCCCTGGCTTAAAAGAGCAATATATTTGGTCTCTGCTGCTGGTGCTATGGGGCTCTTTGGTGGTGAGAAGCCTGTCACAGTGCTCAGTGTACAGTAATAATAGCTACTGCAGCTATCCAGTATTCTCCAAAGTTGCCTGAGCAAGGTGAAATCCAAAGCTGGTGACTAAAAATGATGTTTTTTCATATTGAATTGGGGCCCAAACAGACAGACCAGACCTAGGTTTTCTGAGGCCAGGGACACCAGCAGGTCTAAAACTCAGCACCAAGGTTATGGCTTGTGTCTTCCAGCCCTTGGACGTGCCAGCACTGGGCTGAACTATCCTCCTGTTTGTTCTAAGACAGGCCAAAGCAGCCATGAAGTCCTTGGTAAGCCAATTCTCCTCCAAGCAACAATGCCAGCTCATCTCTCCAACTTTCACCCAGCAGATTATTTATAACATCACACAGGTAGGGTTTTAAAAAAATATGTCATGAAGTACAATGGGTACTAGTGGAATGGTACTCTGAGCTCCAGTCAGATAGCTCTGGAGAAGACCAAATTGAAGTGGACCAATCTTCTTCAGAGGTAATGTAGACCTGTAAGTAAGAAAATGACCACTTGCTAGATTAGGGGATGGCAAGATGAAGCATCATCATCCTCCAGAGATTTGACCCAAACATGTCCCACCATGGAGTTAAAAAAACTGTGATGGAAATTTCCATAGCAGAGCAAAAGCTATGATCAAATGTCTGTAAAAGAAATTGAAGCAGGTGAGACATTTAAGGTTGAAGGGATTCAGGAATGAACATGGAAAAAGCTCCATTCTTGAAGAGAAATGAGCATAGAGTGTGAGCCTGACTTTCATGCCTCCAGTAAGAAAACACAGTTCAGGATAGGCTCAGCTAGGCATTTCTTCTGTTTGTCTTGGATGGGCACTCATGTGCTTACAACCAGCTGAGAGTTGATAAGCTGCTACATACAGTGACATGGGTAACTAGGATCTTTTCTCTCATCATGCAGAAGGAAAAATGGTAGAATGTCCCACAGCAAAGTGAAAAGTCCATCCACCCTAGTGGTGGTTGCAAGGTCCTCAGGGACACAAGAGTGGAAAGATGCACTAGAATTTTCAAGCCTCCGCTTGCTTTACTTATGCTGTTGGGTCATTGGCCAAGTCAAATCACAAGGCCAACTCCAGATTCAGAGTAGGAAGATAAAAAGATTGCACCTCTTAAAAATGAAGATGGAAGAGTCTGTAGCCACTTGTGTAGCAATCTACACAAATTACCAAATCCAGAGGGTCTAGCTTTGGGGATTTAGGAGAAAAAAATCTACCATTTTGGCAAGGATAGCAACTAAGTGTTCCTTGCTAAGAAAGCAATATCCTTCATTTCCCCAAAGCATCTATAATGGTAGTCATGTGAAGCCAAGAGATGCAGGCTCCACATCCCTGATTTCCTGTGATGGTGGAATCAGGATAGCAGAAACAACTCCTGGTAGATGACTTACAAATCTAGAAAAGACTGAGTGGTGTTGGTGGGGAAAATGGCCCACATTCAAAATATAAGGAGACAATATATTATTTTCCAGTTAAGTCCTTTCTCGTTCCTCATGTTGCATTACTTCTTTCTCTTCTTTTTCTCCCTCTTCTCTTTCATGTGCATATTGTATGCACTTGTCAAAAGCACCTGATTACAACCTCATCAGAGTGCAGAGGGAAGCTAAGGTGTATGTGTGGCACCGGCCTGTGCAAAGCCCATTAAGGGAAAAAGAGTTCTTAAAGTCCAGACTTGGATGTCAATATGTACAGCAGAAAGAGACAAAGCAGATTACATCTTCAGAATGGAATATATATATATGTATATATATGTATATATGTGTGTTTATATATGTGTATATATACGTATATATATATATATACACATATATACATATACATTATATATATATATATATATATATATATATAGTCACTTAGCTTTTCAAAATGTTCTACTCTGTTTTGTCCAAGCACTTAAAAACCATGATTCAGAACAGCAAATGGAAGCCATTCCAGTGATCATCCAGGAGGTCACCATTATTGAGCTTACCAAAGGCCCTTCTGATTTTGGTATAACAACAGTCGTTGACTGGTGACTGGAATATGATGAGAATAAATAATATATTTTACTTTGAAGTAATCTTCCCTTATCAACAGAAGGCCTTCTAATAGTAATAAATTTGTGTGGCTAAGCATAGCACAGGAGGTTTAGAAAAGCATACTGTGGGTGTAGACCATTTCTGGAGATGAGTAGTTCAGAGCTAACTGCCTTCTAGAAGTGGATGTGGAGTCCTGGTTCCACTAAGAAAGGAGGTATGCAGGACAAGATCTGGGTGGAAACTCTGAATATGGATGGTCTTACACGTCTCTTGTTTTCTTGATTCATTTCTCATGTGAGTTAGATGGGCACTGAGGTTTGGCATCAGCCTCCTTTAAAGGATGCCCCTTATCCCTTGCCAAAATAGAAAGCAGAAAATCTTCCAAGGTGGTGTCTGAGAAAGTCCCGGGCCTGCTGGCTGTTAGAGCTGTATCTTGTCCTCAGCCCATCGGCATGTCATTTCTAGTCCTCTAGAGTTCCAGAGAGAACATCAGACCACAAGGGACATCCTTGTTGGAAAGTCACTCTGGGGAAAAGCAGAAAAAGCACAACATGAAACTACAAGCTGCATAAATAAAGCAACAGATTAAAAATAATTCAAAGTTTACAAGAAAAGAAGGAGGAGGAGGAGGGAGAGGAGGAGGAGAAGGAGGAGGAGGAGGAGGAGCAGCCAGTGCACACATGCACACATGCACGGACACACGGATACACACACACACACACACACACACAAGATGGGCAGAATAATTCTGGGCTGTGGGCTATTTTAGGAACTTAATGAGAGTTACAAACCCTCACTCAAAGGGGCAGGCAGGACATGGGGAGCACATGTACACAGACCACAGAAGCCCAGGTAAAGGCAAGTGGTAACACCTGCATGATGCTAAATGCTTTTCAGAGCTAGTCATACCAAGCATAGTGGCTTGTGCCTGTAATCCCAGCTATGTGGGAGGCAGAAATTAGGAAGATTGTGATTCAAGGCCAACCTGAGGTAAAAATGTTAGCAAGACCTCTCTGTCTCAACTATAAGCTCAGAGTGATGGTGCATGTCTAGGAGAATGTTCTGAGGCTGGCTGAACAAAAAGTCAGACTTTCATCTGATAAAAAAGGGGAGGGGGATAAAAACCTAAAAGTAAAACTAAAACGGGGTGAAGGCTGGGAAAGTAATTCCTGTTATTCCAGAGTGCCTGCTGAGCAAGTAAACTACAAGACTCAAATAGTAATCATAAAGCTGAGCCAGATTCACACCTGTAATCCTAGCAACTCAGGAGGCTGAGATCTGAGGATGGAGGTTTGAAGATAGCCAGGGTGGGAAAGTCCATGAAACTCTTACTCATCTCCAATAAAACTCAGACCAAAGTGGTACTGTGGCTCAAGTGGTAAAGCACTAGCCTAGAGCAATAAGATGCTCAGCGAAAGCTCCCAAACCCAGAGTTCAAGCTCCAGGCTGAGAGACAGAAGAGAGGAGAGAGGAGAGGGAGGGGGTAAAGGGGCGAGAGAGGGGAAAGAGGAGAGAGAGGAGAAAGAGAGGAGAGAGCGCCGGCAAGCTGGTCATATGCCTCTGTAAAATCTACACGGGCCTACTTTCTGCCTTTAAGGGGGAAAAAAAATATTTCCTCCCGCCCCATCTTCCCAAGCTTAATTTCCTTCACCTGACCTGGGAGAGCAATGAACCTGGGTCTACTTAACATCCGTGGGCAAATTCTTCAAAGCAGGACAACTGGGCCCCCTTAGCCTGGCCCTCCATCCGGGGATCGTGGGGTGGGGGAAAGAGGTGTCTTTCCACTTGGTCCTTCCCCTGGCCCATCCTGGGGACAGTGACACTGCCATGCTGCGAAGAGCGGCAGTGCCAGACGCGGGCTCACCGTTTTCTTGGCGGGCTCCTTCTTCCTCCTCTTCTCCGAGTTGCTGTGGTAGGGCAGGTCCCGGCCCCGGTAGGACGGCCCCCGGCTCAGCTCCAGCTCGCTGTAGGGCGGCAGCGCGTCCTCGGCGGCGTCCTCGTCGTCCTCGTCGTCGTCGGCCTCGGGCGCGGCCGCCTTGTAGGTGGACGGAGGGGACCAGGCATAGTAGGAGGCGCTGCGCTGGCTGAGCTGTGCGCTCAGCTTGGACGGCGTCTCCAGGCTGCCCCCGCGGCTAGGGGCCTCGGGCCGCGGCTGGCGCTCCAGCACGCTGCTCAGGTATGAGTGGTCGTACTTGGGCGCGGTGCCCGGCGTCCGGCTCACCAGGCGCGGCAGGTGCGCGTCGTCGGCCGGACGCCGGCGCGGGGGGCTGTAGGACCAGCCACGATCGGCGTCGGTCAGGGGTTCGCGGCTACGGCTGCGGCTGCGAGGGCCGTAATACTCCTCCAGGGAGCCGTCCTGGTAAAAGCCCCCGTGCGCCCGCGACTCCGTGCGTTCGAAGCGGCTCCCGGCCCGGGCCTCGTGGCTATTGCCATTGGCACGGCGAGGGCGCTGCCCATAGGAATCAGCGAAGTCCGCCAGCTCGTCCATGGACACGGCTGGCACCCCGGTGGCGAAGTTCTTCCGGGACAGCATCTCTGATTTGGAGCGCTGTTGGCTGTGGATAGAGCCCAGGTCAGTGAGTGCATGGGTTACCGCATCTGGAGCAAACCCCTGCCTGCCTGGCTTGCAACAGCGAGCTTGAGACTGCCCTGGAAAAGCCCGTAGAGACGAGGGCTGGAAGGGAGGTCTGTCCCACACTTCAGACCTGTCTAGTGGGGGGGGGGCGCAACCTTTCCCTCTCATGATGGAGTTGTGCAGCTAGAAGTACTTTTGTCTATAGAGCCCTGAAACACACAGGAATTTCTAATTGACATGATGTGTCCTCGGGTTGACTGCCACATGTCTCTGTTCACTCATCCCCCGTGCTACAGTATACGTCGCAATAGTTATAACTATGGTCCTACAAGAATGGAATATTTGGTGACACACAGACAGGGCTATTTCCCCCACAAAGCCAAGGGCCACCTTTCACTCTTAAAGCAAGAGGCTAAAGGAATGCCTACAGTTGGTAAGAGAAAGGTGATACCCTTACTGCCCTTCAAAGTGGCCAGGTGCATGTTGATAGGGCCATTCAGAGGGAAGCAGCCACAAGTAACAGGGTTAAAACTTAGCCTCTCCAATTCTCTGGTCTCACCACCTTGGTTCTAAGTTTCTGTTTCCTCCTGACTAGAAAGATATTAACAGAATCTCCCTTTTAGAATTAGGAGAGATACATGATAAAATGATGGCATTTAAAGTGATTTGCTTTTTGCTATAAGAAATGATAAAAACAACATTATAGAGATGATGGTTGAGAATTTTAAAAGCTTACAGGGTAAAATATATGAGGAAGGCAAAGATGATGTCAAGGTTCATTAAAGGGACTTGAATGATCACTTACTCTGGCACAGGGTGCCCCCAGAGTGTAGTAAATGTAAGAAGGGGGCATTCCAGGGCCTGTAGAAAGGATGTAGCTGAATGTATGGAAGACAGATAATAGCATACAACAGTGGTGTCAGGTTTGCCCTGCCTTCCACTCCTTCCCTCTCACCACCATCACCTGTGCCTGAAGCTGTCCTGATCCTCTTCATTATATTCGATGGCAGTGGGTCCCCGGCTTGTTCCACTGCTGCCTCCCACCACACCTGACCAGTAGTCAGGATTACTCTCCAAGTCCCCGGATACAGGGAACTGTTTGCTTCGCATCTGATGGTAGGACTGGCGGAAATTGCTATCCTCTTCATGAAGGGAGCTGAGTTCTGACATGGCATTGTTATCTGCAGAACAAAAACCAGGCATGACAGGAGTTTCGACAAGTCTGCAGAAAGGGATAGGACTGGGGGTTCCAGAAACTCTGCCTGAGAGTCTCAGCCCTGAAGGTGGGCTTCCGACATGCATTACTAGTATTTGTGCTCCTAGCTCAACAGGAACTGGCTTCAGCTCAAACTCGACTTGCTTACAGAGAGGGAGGCTTCCTACATGCTCTGTTCTTGGAATAGGAGGACAATTGTTTTTGTTCTACCTAAGGCACTCTTCCCAGAACCTGACCCACTGCAGCTGGTTCCTTAGTACATCATCATCCTTGTTCAAATGTTTTCCTTTGTCTTGTCTAATTCTGTTGTGAGCTGTGAGGATCCCAGGCAGGTTGAGCCAAAAGAGGCAAAGAGAATCCGCCTCTTCCCTACTGCCAGCCCAATCCCAAGATGAGGCCTTTAGAGCCAATACTGCCAGCAGGCTTAGAGAAACCCCATTCTACCCTCCTGCAGTGTGCTCCTCCCCACAAAACAAGAAGTCAAGATCAAAGGGAAGTACAAAGGATCATTACACCTCCCTTTTAGACCATGCTTATCTGGAAATCTAGACAATTTTGCCCCAGTGGCACCAGGCCTACTTCCATGACCTAGGCAGACCCCTTTCCTTCCCCCAAACGAATCCAGGTATGTGTGGCCAGGCAGCTGTTTGGGGGTGTGAGAAGCAAAGTGGATGGGAACGTCCATATGTCCTGTGGGCTGAAACTTCGGTTTTGGCCCCAGCCTAAAAATGTAAAGGGGATGCATAGTTACAGCTTTTCTCATTTCCTAAGTAACTTTTGCAAAAAGCTACTTAGGAACAGGGATTAGAGTAACAGTCTGGAAAGAATTTAAGAAAAAAAACTATTTATAGAAGTTAGAAATATATTGAATTTCAATTTATTTAAAAAAACAAATCTAGTGAACCTAGTTGCAATGTAACTGAATCCATTTGTTTTCTAAAGTCTTTCCATTAAGACTTCAAAAATATTATTAAAAACAACAGTTACTAGGTTTAAGGCCTGGCCGTTGAGGGAAAAGTAAGCCAAGAGAAGTTGTAGGGAGCACAAATGTACGTCTCCATTTCCCTTTTGCGTCCCTGCCCTGTCCTCTCCCATATCCTTGGAAAACCCCAGGAACAAAAGGAGGGGGTCCATGGAACTGACTTCCCAGTTCCTTATCAACAGAGACACTGCATTTACCTCGAGTTTCATTCACTCTAATCATATAATCCACTGGACTTGAATTATAATCTAATTTTTTTAACTTTCAACACTCTCAAGAATAGTTGTGTCTATTTTAAGAGAAAATAACTCAAGATTAATAAAATCTAGAACATTCCTTTTCTTTTGACTCCCATGAATTCATTTCCTGAGAACCATGAAGAAAAGAAATTTAAAATGTGCCAAAATAGTCCGCTGAAAAACAATATTGTTGGCTCCGAACATTTCTGAACTTCAGGAAATACCTAATCTTTTCATTTCTGCAGATAGAAGGGCTATCACTGTTAGATCACTCATAATAACTAAAATTTCTGCTAAGTTGAATACAGATAATCAATAAAAGAGCTAGGGAATAAACGTTTCAATCTTTGTGAGTCAAACCAGCATGACTGTTCAGTTCTACCATTTAGCATGCAAGAAGTCCAAAAGATACCTAAATGAATTGGTATGGCTGTGTTCCAATACTATTTATATAAACAGAAATTGAAATATCTTTGGCCCAGGAAACATTGTTTTCTGACCCCTGCTCTAGGAGTTCCCAGATTAAATAGCCAGGAGCAACCCACCATCTATAAGGGCAAGTTAAAGGAGGGTAATAATGGGTAGCCCATTCATGAGCTTGGACCTCCAGCTCCCGATTATTTTTTAATATATATTTTTATTGTAAAGATACTGCACAGATGGGTTACAGTTGCATGAGTAATGAGTACATTTCCTATTAAGCATTGTTACCACCTCCTTTGTTTTTCCCCTACCATCCCTTCCCTCCCCACCTCTCCAATTTTTCCCTCCCCTCCCCCAAGTTGTAAAGTTCGTTTTCAACAGTGTTTTGTACATCTCATTGTTACAATGGGTCAACCTGAATCTTATTTCAGCATTGTGTTATTTCCCTTCCCCTCCCCAAATAAGAAAAATGTATATACAAGATGCAGGGCACTGGAATCAAATAGAGTGAAAACAGGGATTATACTATGGGGGAAGAACATACAAAAGAAACCAGAAATCACACAGTACATTGTAAGCACATTAAAAACAATAGCAACAAAGATAAAACCTCTTGTGTCCCTATCTTGGGGTTCATTTCGCTTAGCATCATCTTATATGGTCATATGTACATCAGCTCCCAATTCTTACAGAATCTATGTCTCCCCTATCTGAACATAAAACCTTAAGATCCATTTGATAATGAGCTCTGTCCTAGGTCTTTGCTGTTCAGAAAAAGAATGAACCTCCTGAAGTAGACTGAACTACATTCCTGCCTCATTCTGCACGGTTACTGTGATGGCAACCTGCAGGTGCCAGGCAGACTGGGTTCCAGTCCTGGCATTGGCCTTGAGTTAGTTTTTCATCTTGCCTCCCTTTCCTCCTTTGTAAAATGAAGGAGGCAGATACTGTAACTTCAGAGTCTCTTCTAGTTCCAGTAGTCTGCAGCCCTACAAATAAGAAGTCTATGATTTTAAGAGGGACTATAGGCATTCACAATTTATGGCACAAAGATCATGAGACTGGGAATCTGGAGAACTGGATTCTACTCCTGTTTTTGTCACAGCACTCCTCTAGTTTTTTTGTTTTCTCATCTGTACATATTACAGGTAGATAATCTGAGGACTGTATCTAAAGGCTCTCTTGGCTCTACAAGTCCACTACCTTATGCCCAGCTGTCACGCTGGAGACTCTTAATCAAAGTAGCCATTCAAGAGACATCACTCAAATTAAAATCCATTCTTTACTCTGACCTCTGATTTCCTGCCCTGGCTTGTCCTTGATCCCTGATGCTCCTTGTCTCAGGTCCCTTTCAGAGATCCATGACAACACTGTTACAACTAGCTTGTCAAGAGCAGTGACATCTGCATTCCTGACATTCCAATCTGGAGATGGTCTTTTTATAGTCAGGGCGGTGGGAGGATGCAGCAATGGATGCAACACAGACAGGATGAATTTAGCATTGCAAACTGGGTGGAATATGTTGTCCTTAATCTGAATAAAGCTTCTCTAGTCTGGGACTGTTTCCCCAACAACTCCATCAAGTCTCTCATTGGTTCCAAGAAGAGTAGGGTTCAAAGAAAGCATGCAGTGACCTCACTACCACGCCTGCCAGCACCCCCTGATAATTAGCCCATACATGTCAGGCCTGCCCTGTTCTGCCTCCCATGATAGACAGTAATTTGGAAGCTACCCTGAAGAATCAGCTGTGTCAGCTGCAGAGTCTCCAAGGACTCTGGGTAAGTTAAGAGTTGGGGCTCTGCCACTCACTGACTTAGTAATTAAAGAGTTCTTTGATAAGAGGATCAGCCTCTCTGCTCAACCCTCAATCAATCTCTATGGTTGGGCATCTTTTCCCAGATTCATCTGCCAGACTTGTTCTTTCAATCTCATTGGGACCTCCATGTTGCAAGCCAGCAACTGAGTTGTTCAATATCAGAGCCCTTGGTATTGGGGAGAAAAATGATATGGAAGCTTCACATCTTAAGTTACTATCTTTTAAAAAGGGAAGCAGGGAGTCCATTATAATGAATCACTTCAAACTCCAGAATCACATTACCTCAGTAATCAACACTGCCCCACAGTAAGACCTAACAACATTACCTCAGCAATCAACATTGACCCAGGGAAAGGCATAAACAAAGGTACTTGACTGCTCCACCATTTACATAAAAAACGCTTTTGTTCCCTTCTGGATACTCAAAGCTAGTTTCTTCAGTGGAGTCCCCAGCACCTCTGCTAGTTCTGACTCTGCAGGCTCAGGGCTGCCAAGTTTGATAACCAACAGGATTTAGCTACTAAATCCTTCAGGATGCACAGATCACATGAAACTAACAGATGCTCACATCTGCCTCTCATCCTTCTGGCTGGATCAAACTGAGCCAGCTCCTTCTCGACATAGTACAGGACCTTCATGGAGTCTCTCTCCTTATCAGCTTGGATCCGGTAACCTTTGCGAACTGTTAAGAAAAGCACAAGAAGGTTAGCAGGAAATAAAAAAACCTAAAGGAAGATATCAGGAAAAGTAAACCTCCAATCATTTTTTCCAAGTAGAAGACATAACTCCCATTTATAACAACTCATTTTAAAATGACCTAGAAATAACAATCTATCCTTACATACATCAAGGGGCATACCTGAGGTTCCCCTTGATTGGAGGGTGACTCTGGAATAGATGAACCTGAAGGTCAATAACAAAACCTTTGGAATATTTTCAGTCATCTGTTACCTTCTTCTTCCTAACTTCTAACCTCCTACAGCTCCACTTAAAGCTCATCTTCTCAGAGCTTTTGAGTTTCAAGATAGGGTTAGACCCACACTAAAAAAGACCACTTCTAGATTGACAGCACATGTCACTCCACAGTCTGAGGTTCACACCTTCACTTGGTAGGTGCCTGAGTAACAGAAACAGATCCCCAAATATCTGGGACATTGACAAAGGTGGTGTGAAAGCCTTTAGTTGCCAAGGAGATGGCACAAAAATTCTCTGAACTAGGTGGTACATGCTTAAGAACTAATATTAGATTATAGGCAATATACACAGTGGTACAAAACAAGATGCACAACACATGGGTTTCTAATCATGGTTCCATTTTATTTCTTTAGCATTTTCCTTTTAGGAAAAGAAACAGCATATTTTAGACATGATTAATTCAACCTGCTGCTATGTAGTTATGGGCAGGTGTTATTTTCAGGGTTTAATAAAAAGCAAAGCTAAAGCAAGAAAGATAATACCACATTCCATATCTCCAGCACTCATATTGTCAGACAAGAGGGGTATAAGCCCCATCTCATTTAAGTCTAGTCCAATGCCAGCCCCAAGCATGATCAGGCAGCAGGCCTAAAGCACAGCTATGAGAAAGGAAAAAAACAGAATGTGAATGAAAGGAATGATGAAATGGGGATGGAACAATAGTGATAATTAGATAACATTTACTTGGCACCAAAATGTGCTAGGTACTGTGCTAAATGTTTGCATGGATGATTGTTTTTCTGCACCACTCAAGGAAGTTCTGCCAGCAGCTACATTCTGTGGTTGGAAAACACTGGCTCAAAAGATTTTCGTAGCTTGTCTAGGAATAATTTGGAAGAACCACCGCTGGAACCAATTAGTTGGATTGATTGAAGTTTAACTCTGTTAGAATATTTTGCCTCTCTACAGCCTAGGGGAATAGATAGTGTTGGGGGAGAGTGGGGAGGAGTAGATTGAAAAAGACAAGAGAACAAAATCCCACAGTAGGAAATGCTCTTGGGTGTGGGATGGAGTATATGGCCCTTCAACTTGGCCCTTGTCCTGACTTCTGGTTACTGAGACTGTACTATGGAACATAAATGAGCAATCTGACAAATATTTAAAGGCAACACACAAATGTCTGAACCTCCAGGAAAAGTCCTGCTTTATAGTCTCTGGATATATTACACTGAATGTGGACAAAGCTCTTCTTAAGTTATTTTCATGGATGATTAAAATATAAAATTCCACAGCACTCTAATCACAGGCAATGAAGACAGAAGTCGCCCACACAGCCCTTTGCAGGTGCACTGATTTTCCATCTGAGAGTATACTGGGAAGTCCACATCCATCTCAAATTGTGCAATGACTTAGAAAAATGTATTGAGTCTCAGCACATACCATTTTGTGGCATCTTTTCCCAGAGGTTAGATCCAAAACCCTTCTGTGGAAGCAGTTATTAGCAGAAATTTTATTTATCACGCCACACATTTTTCCATCTCTGCAGAGGCGTCTACAGAGTAGTACAGACAGTTCAATTAAAATGCAATTATCCCACGGAAGTGTTATGTCTGTTCTAAGGCAGTTATGTCTAATGGATGAGGTGCAGGATTGGGAAAAAGGAAATAGGGCATCTTGTAATTAAGGGACCTCCAATAAAGACTTATCAGGATTCAGTTTTCATTTAATTGCTTCAAAAAGAGAGGGCAACTAAGATCAATCAATAGAGTAATTTGAGCTCTTTGTAATTATTAGGGGTAGTTTAAAATACTACCCCTTCCAAAAGGCTTTCTCTAATGCTCATATTCTGTCTCTGACTTTTTTCAATCTTTTCCCTAATCTATAAGTTATTTGAACTTTTATCATGGCTCTTAATATGTTTTAGTTTGTGTCAAGTTATTTATATAAATGCCAAATCTTCTCAAAGATTTTTTTAAAGGACAATCTTATCGCGTGCCTAGGGACTGTGCTTTGCATACAGTGGGCCCTTAATGAGTGTTCATTGAATTATTGGAAGCCTGGGAATGGAATGGGGTTAATGATGTCTTTGGATAGAATATTTTCAGTAAACTATCCATCTTTAGACTATAAACTTCCTGAAGACAATTACTAGCTCTCTGTATCCCTAATACCTAGCATAGAGCCTGGCACATTACAGACACTCAAAACATGTATGCCCAAAGGAATGAATGGAAGTATGAGTGGATGAATGAACAGAACCTGGGAGCCAAAAGTAAATTTCATGGATTACAAAGTATAACATATGAAGCCATGTGGTTGGCTTATTATAAAATTCTGAACAGAAAGGAGGAAGTTTGAATGGTAGCTTGAACAAACAGGTAGTTTTGGATAAGTTTTGTGGTTATTACTATTGCTTCTTTTCTAAGAATCCTAGCATGACTATAGGCATTGGGGAAGAAGCTTATTCTACCTGTAGCAATGGATTTATTCAGGTGTTCTTGATATGTAAAGCACTTTTATGGTAACTCAATGATGCTGAGATAAAGACTGGGGGGGGGTGGTATAAGTGGTTGGTATAAGGAACTATGGACCAGCTATCTCCTGGGAAAGAGATAGTAGCTATGCAGAGCAGCAGCTGGAAGATCATTAGTTAATTGTAACTTTAGATTTTTAGAGCTTAGCTTGTTTTCTATATCACTAGAAAAAATTATACTCCTCAAGATTCAAATTTGATTTTTATAGGTCTTTGAAAAGTTACAATAACTACAGCCTCATGGGAAGATGGGAGTTTTATCTTTCAGTACTGGCATTATAAAGATATTTGGCTATGCTAGATACTTCTCAGTCACAGCAGCCCATGATTTGAAGAATTCAAATTTCTTTGTCAAAAAAGACAAAGGCAAATCATGGATCTTGAGGCTTTGGGGAGCATCATCCATTTGGTTATAGTAGATAAAAGCAATTCTCCCATTAAAAGTTACAGAGCTTTTGTAAGTGGTAAGCTCTGTCTAAGTTATTCTCCCGTTCTGGTAGAAACTGGCTCTGTGCCACATATATACTCAAGAGCATATGAATCACCAAGTAACTTTTCTTTTCTTTTTTTTCTTTTCTTTTTTTGTCGGTCATGGGGCTTGAACTCTGGGCCTGGGCACTGTTCCTAAGCTCTTCAGCTGAAGGCTAGTGCTCTACCACCTGAGCCACAGCGCTACATCTGGTTTTTTGAGTGGTTTATTGGTGATAAGAGTCTCACAGCCTTTCATGCCCGGGCTGGCTTTGAACCGTGATCCTCAGATCTCAGCCTCCAGAGTAGCTACGATTACAGGCAAGAGCCACCACACCTGGCCAGGTAACTTTTCTTGATCCCTTTTCTCCAAAGACAAGATTTTATATTCTGACCCTCTGTTATACAATAGTCTTGTCATATGCTACTTCATATTTTCTGCTACTTCATATTTTCACAAGGTCCCATCAACCTCCCTGCAAGGCTATAAATTCCTTGAGGGCAATGAAAAATTGTAAGCTTCCATGGAATGTTTCCTGATTAGAAAACATATGGTGTCAGGTTGATTTTTATCTATAATTTGTCTGAAGACCAAAGAACTCTCTTATGCATGTGGCAGTATCTTCATAAAAAATATCCTAGAATACTGGCCAAAATCCAGCAGTTCTGGAAATGATTTTTTTCCTGATGATGTTTCAGTTAAGGTCAATGGATGATTTCTTTCTGCTTTCAAATTTGGTGTGGTCCAAGTCATGTAGTTGGTGTGGCTCCTCATACTTCAGCTTTGCCAACTTTGACTTTACAAGGTATAATTCCCATTAATGCCAAACTACAATGTCAAAAACTCCTATTGTTAAAAAAAATTGAGCTGGGGGTTAGAGGCCTGGCTCAGTTGGTAGAGTGATAGCCAATGAGCAAACATCAGGAACCAAGTTCAAATCCCAGTCTCACAAAAAAGAAAGAAAAGAAAAGAAAAAATTTGAACTGTTACTTCTGACCCAATTAAGGTGTAATTAACTTCTCTTTTACAGGGGAAATCCAACTTACAAAATTTGAGTGGGGGGAAAAAAACCTCTGAGGTAGACTTCCATGGATAGAGCCTTGTTCTTCCTGTCCTATCTTAATGAGCTAAATAAAGCTGTTTATGGATGATGGAACAGCTGCCAGATTCCACCCCCAGGGTGACAGCAGCTCAATTGTGGGAGAAGTGATTCTTAAAATTTACATATTCTCTGTATACGTACAGTAGGCATATATATAGACAAATCCTTATTAATTTTGAAAATGACATTTCAAAACCCTACTTGACTAGTCGGTTATTTTGTAAGAAGAATGAGTAAAGTCCAGGGAGACTGAAATAAGATGGATTAGATCCAGGCAGAGAGTAGATATGGAAAGAACTAGTAGGAGATAATTGCCCTAAGCGAGGTAGAAGGTAGCAGCAGAGACTAGGATAGTTGCCATAGAAAAGGAGGAAAATAAGCCAAATCGAGGTTATTCTGCATTACAGTCTGAAGGGCTCAGTGACCAACTAGATAAGAGAAGTAAGGGATACAGAATAAGGATGGGTTTGGGCTGCTAAATGGAACTTGATGCCAACCACTAAGAATCTGAGTTGAAGTAGAGAAACAGTAGTTGAGTTTAAATGTCTGCAAGACATTCAGGTGGAGATGTCCAAAGGGAGTTCCAAATATATGACTAAGAAGCACAAGAGCTCCTTAGTAGCCAGTATTTGGAGAGATAGGCAGAAAAACCAAGGCAGTGTTGAGAAAGGCAAAGAAAGATGATTGAGCCTGGGGTGACAAATAAAGGGGTAAGAAATTAAGAGAGGTAAGGAATCCATTGGATCGAGCAATAAAGCAGTCTTGACAACAGGTGTTTTCTGGAGTGGTGAAAGCAAAAGCAAGATGGGAAGTAACTGAGGTAAGAGTAGAAGCAATAGGGACATTAAATATGCAAAATTCTTTCAGGCAGTTTGGCTGTAAAGAGGAGAAAGGGACAGGGAAACAACACCAGAAGACTACGGGATGTTTTGTAAATTGCTGCTCTATTCTAATGGGAGAAATCTGAGCATCTCGCAAATGTTGATAGGGCAAAATCACCATAGATGGAAAGGCTGGAGCAGTGAGGTGAGAACAGGGTAGAAGCTGATTAGGGAATAGGGAACCTTGACAAAGCTTAAATGGATAGGTTTAGAGCAGAATAAGAGCCTGTTTTCTTGTAACATAGAAGACAGTTACTATTACAAATAATGGAAGAATGAATCAGGTGCCTCTTCTTCCATACAGCCAAATGGTTATACTATATATAGCTCATCAAAGATGCTTATTATACTGTGTTCAAGAGAGTATTGTGGACAAATGTAATCTGAAAAATTACTGTTGCTACATGATTACTTTACAATTGGCGTGGCATACTAAATTTACATTTTTATAAATCAGCATTCTTAACATTTTTAGCATTCTTTAAATAACCTACATTGGCATAATACACCTTTCTTAAAGAAAAATTAGCTGCATGCTAACACTAGTGCTGTCCATGAGACCATGAGAATAGTGAGGTGCCTTTGGAGACCATGAAGAGCTCTGTTCTGACTCAACCAGACAGCGATGACATGGGTCACAGACTAGCTGTTGTCATGGCAACACTGGTTGGTATCTTTCCTCTTTTTCCTTGCTAATGGAGCCTGACTTTGTTCACTTCCTAAGGTGAATGGATGGTTGTTTAGGCCTAAAAAGTGAGTTTTGACAGTTCCAGCCCATCTGGCTTAAGAATGGGCATGGGACATAGTTGTAGCTGATAGAATTGCAAGGAGAAGCTTGCTGGATGAGGACATAGAAAAGTTTTTTTTCACTCCTAGACAAAGTGGCACAGGATTAAGCACATCTTCTTCTATACCTGAATGAAATTAATATCTGAAAGTGCTTTCATCAACAAGGAATCCTGAGGCAACCAAGACAATAAGGACAGGGAATGAGCTCAGGATACAGTACAGAAGACGGCAATATGTCCTGCAGGATGACACTAAACTGTTCAATGTCCTTTCTTTGAGAGCTCTTGTGAAATGAAAGAGTACATTTTCCTATTTTCAATAAGCCCCTCCTAGGTATAGTTGGTTAGTATGGGGACAAAATAATTAAACTTCAACAAGAAAGAACTCTGAAAAGAACGAAAACAGGAAAAAGGAAGTGTCTGTCAGCTTCTGAATAAAAATAATTTTATTATGATTATCCTTTAAATTAAACAGTAAGGACAATGGGGTTATACTGAGAAGGAAGGAAAGAGAAGATGGGGAGAGAAAGAAAGTAGCAAATAGAGAATTTGAGACAAGTTCCATTAATGTCTCTCTGGCCCACTCCTTCCTTTGGACTATTGGATTATACTGTCTTTATCTCTTGAATTCCCTGTGCATCCTTGATCATTAACTTTTCTCAGTCTGTGAGTCATTCCTAGCCTCAGACGTCAGAATTCTACTAATAGTTCCAGAGAGAGACAAACACAAATACCATTTACTCATTGAGGAGAGCCACTCCTTCTACAGACAGGTGTTGGCCATTCATTACATGGGCTACATGCCCTTTCCCTCCACCCACTGGAGGCCATGCAGAGCTCTCCAGGGAAGAAGCATCTGTTTCACTATCTCTTCTGGCTCATCCACTTGCAAGACTTGAAATATCAATCCACTACACATACAACCTTCACCTTCACTACCCCTCAGTAATCCTACTCAATTACCTCCAGGAAATCACCTCAATTGCCTCTATATTTTCTCCCTACTTTGCCCTTCCACATGTACTCCCAACCATGGCACAAATTCATCATGTTCCATATAGAGCTATTCTTCACTCAAACCAGTTCTCTTATCTGTACCACTACACAACTTGGGCTCATCATGAAGCTTCCCTTTCTTTCATTGCCTAACCCCTCATTGCTTTTTTCACAACTGCTTTTCTCACAAATGCAAAGACATTTCAATTCCCACAGTCTCCATTACAAACCAGATACTCAGATAACACAGCTGAACCACCTCAGTCAGATCTGAGCTTGGAGTCTCTGGCTTACTCCCTCACATTTACTCCTCATCCTGCCACCTCTCCACTCAGAAGTCTGCCCAGGGTGGCTCCCAGATGCTCACTCCTCCAAACCCTAGCTCTTCTGGAGGGGTTTCAAGGCCCTCCCTAAGCTAGCTTCCCCAAATCCTGCCATCTTCTTCCAGGCACTGCAACAAGTTTGATACTATGAAACGTTTATATTGTGTTTTTCCAGCTCTAGGATTTCAGCATACTAGCCATCCTGTTCAGGACACTCAGCACCCCTACTTTGTTTGCTTAAATCCTACTCACTCCTCCAGATCCAGCTCAAATCTCATCTCCTTTTCAAAGACTGTAACTTTTCATCTCTGGATTCTAAGTACCATACTCTTCAGTAGCTAATTGCTTTAATAAAGATGCATTCTTTCTCCCTGATGAGGGCATACTGCTTATTCTACATATCCCTTTTCACACCTAGATCAGACTTGAACACTAGGTAGGGCCAACTACCAAATGATGAATATTTAAAAGGGACCCTTACTGTTTTTTCTTATAGATTTTGTTACTAAGAAACCTAGGAAGTAATCAGAGGTCAGAGTGTTCTGCAGCCTTTGGAAAGCCCAGTATGCATTCCAAAAGATATCTAACATGACCGGAAATATCTTTTTTTAATGGAGATAATACTTTCCCAAAGATACAGCATTGAGGTGTTTGGGAACCAGGATGGAGGCCAAGACAAGTGAGAGGCAAGGAAGTCTAGAACTACATTTACCACTGTGGCTTCCTCCAGTGGAGTCACTTGGTGCCAAGGGAGGTGGATGCGGCTTGTCCATCAGCATGCCAGATGAAGGGGTTCCTCCCAAAGGGACAGAGGGGATGGAGTAAGGGCCAGGGACACCGGAGACAGAGGGAGGGTACCCGGCCTTGGCTGCTTTCCCTGCTTCATACACTGCGAAGGGAGATGAAGAGCAAGAGAGATTATGTCATCCCACCCTCCACACCCTCAGACCAAACTCATTGCAATATACTCCAGGGAAGCTCCTGGATGGGTGTGTATTTGCTTTCCTTGGATCAAACTGACTCATCAGAACCACTCTCACTTGGCCTCCTCCAACTCCACTGAAAGCTGTAATTCCACAAATGAAATTACAGTGTCTAGTACCTGACATCTGAGTAATCAGGTGGTTCTGGGAGCTGTTACAGCAATATTTCCAATGACACCAGAAGCCCACTCCGAGCAGCACTATTTGAACTCCACTCAGTCTCCCTGAGAGAGGTCTAGCACAGGAACTTCCCAGGGCTGTTTCCAGGAGGAGCTGGAACCTCCTTTGGAGATACAAAGTCATCAATGGCATTGCATATGGCTCCTGCTCTGTGATTTCAAAAGCAGAGCCAATAACCTGACTCCACCTAACACTGCTTCATTACAGATGCTAAGGATAACCAGTATGCCTCTCTTTTTCATGATGTGTTTGGTTTATGGTAATAGATGTTAAACTTAATGCCTATTTGGGCTTCACTACCTTACCTTACTAAGGTAAAATTGAATCTCCAAATAAGGACTAGTCTCTATTGTGGCCCATTCTATCATGGGAGTATGTAAAATTCATTGCTCAATGCTGGATAGTGACCAGAAGCCACAGTTTATACCATCTGTTTATAAATTAAGGAGTATCACTGCATGAGCAGAGATCTCCTCTAGCTTGAATGTCTGGAGGAGAGGGCAAAACCTTATCCCACAACCTCACATCTTGAACCTGCCCTTCCTTTTATCAGTTGTGTCCATGAGAATAAAAATGCATGAAGTGATGTGTGAATAAGAAACATGAAGACATGTATGTAAGTGAGGAAAGCAAGAATGGTCATCCCTGAGCCAGAGGCTTCCAGTACAGGAGAGCATCTGGGATACCCAACTTTTTGGATAGAAGGAAAGAAGGGAGAAGTGGAACTCAGATCACACAGCTGTAAGATGGAGTCTCTACTCACAGGCCTGAGGGCAGCAGCAAGAATCTGGGCAGCATGGGCAGCGGACGTAGCAACAGCAACTATGAGGGCAGCACTGGCACCAGCAGATCCCCACCAGGACAAAGAAGAGGAAAATTCCCAGGATCACCAGGCCGACAAAAACCCATTCTGGAAGAAGGAACAAAGAAATCCACATTCAAGGTGGCTTACCTTCTGGAGAGGGCACACACTGATTGGGTGCTACCTGTGAAAAGAGATGAGTAAGAGGGACCTGGAGAAGAAGAAAGCATGCCTAGACAGGGAGCAGAGCCCCCAACCTCAAGAGGAGCGCTGAGAGTCAGACGTGCTGCGGTGGTGATGAAGAGGGACATAATGTGGGATACACTCAATGACCACATCAAGTAAGGGGGGATTTCAGGATGCTTTACTGGGGAAAGGTTTTACCATAGTCTGTAGTATCAAAGCAAAGGTAAGACAAAAGCAGAAAGATTCTTGGCTGGACAGATTCTTGGTGAGTTGTATGAGTATCTTTTTTTCTTTCCTTTCTTTGTCCATTTCTTTATCTTTCTTTTCATTTTTTTATATTTTATTTTATTTTTATTTTATTGTGGAATTAGGGATTGAACTCGGGACCTCCCAATTGGTAAGCAAGTATTCTACCACTTGAGCCACACACTGGGTCCTTTTCGTTTTTCAGGTAGGCTCATGAACTTTTGCCTAACTGGGATTAGAGGCATGTATCACCACCATTTCTGCCTGAATTCTTACCTTCGACAAATCAAATTAATCTCTTGTCTATATAAGTATAAGTTGTGGCCAGGTGTGGTGGTTCATACCTATAGTCCCAGACTTGGAAGTCTTGAGTCAGAATTGTGAATTTGAGGCCAGCTATGGAACAAGACTCTGTCTCAAAACACCCAAAATATATGGGGGAAAAGCCTCTATATCTACATGTTCTAGCTGCCAACCATGTTTTCATGTTTGAGTGGTCTGTGCCCTGAAAGTAGTCATCTGTTTTCTCTGCTGACTGTCTCTGGGGTGTCTCTCCTGTCCTCAGCAACATCACTGAGATCCAAACTTCTTGCTTATTTATATCTGGGCAACTATCAACAGCTACAGAAATCTAGAAATATAGTCTGAAAGAGAGAAGACACAGTCCGTATCCCAGAGACTGGGTTTGGTTTGATCACACTCAAGCTGATTGGGCTAGACAGGTAGCACTAATGTGGCTCAGAGCTTTGATGAATGGCAAATTGGACATGTACATACTGGGTATTTGATAGCTTGTGCTATTTTTCACAGCCCTGCTAAAGGCTAAATGTGAATTCTGTTTCACATGCTCATCAGAAAGGTTAAGGGAAAGGAAACAAATTCTACTTGACTTAGATAAAAATGACTGGCCCTCAGGCAATTTGTTTCAATATCACACCATTGGGACTTGGCTATAGAAACCAATTCCTTCCTGGAGGCCTAAGAGTACTGAAGTCAGCCATATTTTTGGAAAAAATTAAGTGAAGTAAGCCAGGCCCATAGAAACATAGGTCTCATTGTTTCCCTTATTTGCAATAACTAGTATAAGTCGAGGACAAGTAGAAAAGGTCAAAAGCTATGTACATATGACCATATAAGATGATGTTCAGTGAAATGAACTCCAAGATAGGGACACAACTTGTTTTTTTCTTTCTTGCTATTGTTTTTAACGTATCTAAAATGTACTATGTGATTTTTTGTTTCTCTTGTATGTTCTTCTCCCAAGGTACAACCCCTGTTTTCATGTATTTGACAGTTGTGCCCTGCATCTTGTATATATATTTTTCTAATTTGGGGAGGGGAAGGGAAATAACAAAATGCTGAAACAAGGATACAGGTTGACCTATTGTAACAATGAGATGTACAAGACACTATGTTGAAAATGAACTTTACAACTTGGGGGGTGAGAGAGTTGGGAAGGTACAGAGGGAAGGGATAGTAGGGGGAAAACAAAGGAGGAGGTAACAATGCTCGATAGGAAATGTACTCATTACCTTACTTATGTAACTGTAACCCCTCTATATACTATTTTTTACAATAAAATACATTTTTTAAAAAGTCAAAAGACTAATGCTAGGGTTTTAGGCAGAAAGCCATCTACCAAAAATCCCTTCACAATGAGCTTCAAGTTCACACTATTTTCTCAGATTCTGGTTATCAAATATTCTTTCAATTAAGTGGACATTCAATTGGGAGCTTAAAATATTTTTATTGTGAAAATACCATACAGAGGGGTTACAATTACATGGGCAAGGGCTTAAAATATTTTTGACATATTAAGGGTTTTTTTTTAATGATGAGAAAATCATTTGGCCTCAGGCTAGAACATCAGCCCCTCAGAGGGAAAACAATGTATAGTTCTTGAATGTCCTCTTTGCTTCTACATCTGGGATATATCCAAATCAAGCAGGTCAACCTCTCTTTAATGAGGGACCAAGAAAGCTCTGTGCCTGGCTTCAATGACCTGGAGGACAGTCTTGTTGAGAACAACAGACAGCAGAGGCTTTGGCTCAGGATGTAGTAGTAACTTAATAACATAACGTAGCCAGAGATAGATGTGAGCCTTTAGGTTAGATAAGCTGTATGGAGGGGTGCCTGCAACTTGGGTCAGACAGTTAAGGATAAAAGGCTGGAAAGTTCGATTTGAGAAACAAAACAACTATGATCTCTAACTCCCACGATTCTTAAAAGGCAGGGAAATTCTGGTGGATAGGGATGGTTATTAAAAAAAATGTAACTCTTAGGACTGAGAAATATAACTTGTAGTTTGAAAGACTACAATAGAACATTGTTTTTTTCATGAATACTTGCTTACAAATTGAGGGAATTTTTTTGATAAAAGAGACTACAAAGACATGTTTATTTGTGTCCTTGGGAACAATGTTAATTAAGGAGAATGTCTGGGTTTGGGGTGGCTAGCTGATGGGAAAGGAATGGAAGAATTCAGGGAAGAATAATTAGTGAGATTCAACTAGGAAGACTCTAGGTTTTTCTTAAAACTTGAATCATGCCAGGAGTAGTGGTTCATATATATAATCCCAGCAATCATGGGGCTATGGCAGGAAGATCATGAGTTTGAGGATAGGTTAGGCTATATAATGAGCTAGAGACTCACCTAGACTATGTAGCAAGACCTTGCCTCAAAAATATATAGAACAAAAATGAACTATTTTTGATAATGTTACAAAATGCAAATCAGAATAGCCTGATTGTGTAACAATGAATAGGTAAACATATGATTTGGGGAATAAGGAATATAGACTAAAGGGACTCTAGGTACTGCTGAAATTCTGTGATGGGCTTGGATATTACCAAAAATCCTGCATGCCTGACACCAAAGGATTGGGAAGCCTACATTTTCATTATTATTCATCATTATTCTTTTAGGGAATATAGAAACTGAAGGAATACAATTTAAAGCCTCCTCCAATGGGCTTAGTTCGTCCTAGAAAAGATCATAGTCACATATAAATGTACAAATAAACAAGTAATTAGTAAACTAATGCAGAAGCAAGCCAGATGGAGTGATAGCCAAGTAAGCAAATAAAGTGTTAAATGACCCAATACCTGGCATAATCTCCACAGCAAAACTGGGCAAGAGATCAGCAAGCAGCCCTGTCCTGCCTAGAAGAAGTGAGAGGAAAAGAAGAAGGAGAGAGGTTACTCCAAAGGAAAATGCAGCTTGATAAATGGCTCCAGGGGACCATCTCTATATGGGCCCCTTAGGTCATGCTCTTTGTGGTAGGAGAGGAGAGGTATCATCACCAAGGCTTGGCTCAGTCAATGAGAATGACCTTCTCTATCAATCTTTAGCAAACATTTAAGTGTAAGAGGCAGCTTGGAAGCCACTTTTGCTGGGCCTGTGAATTAACTAAAAACTAGTCCCTCTAGCTCTCCCCTCACCCTCCACCTTGACTTTTCATGTATGCTCTTTGATCTGAGCCATACCCTGTTGCAGTAATTTTACAATAACTTTGGGCTCCAGAAAGAATTCATCTTGTGACAAAAGGTAAAATTCTCCTCAGACAGGCAATTCTTTCTTCTATCACCTCGAAGAACAGAGCTAGCAGACCTCCAGAAACAGACTGAGCTAATGGTCAGGTAGCCCATACCTATTACTTATGACTGTTTGAACTATACATATATTTCTCATCCTCTTCCCTTCATTTCTCTCTATTTAACCTGAGGCCAATGTCTGTGCCCCTTAAGATGGCTGAAGACATACTGAAGTGCTTTCTTCCCATGTGCCATGTAATAAAACTCCTTTCTCTGCCCTTCACCATGTTTCCTTATTTGCCCTATGGAAGCAAGTGATTGAACCTAAAGTGGGATTTCTGGAACTCAGGCTCAAGGTCTAAAAACCCAATCTTAAAGTTTATCTTAAATTGGATTGTAGCAGAAACAGAACTTTTCAACTACTTATGGGAAGAAGAACTCTTTGGTTTCTTATGAAAAATTTTCTTGAGCAGATTGGCAAACACAATCTCCATTTCTACATCCCTCTTCATATATTTTATTGGAAAAGCCTAACCCATATGTATCTAAACATTCAATCTACATTTTCATACATTCATACGCAGTCTTATGTCCATACAAAAATGAGGGTATATATTTGGTTTTAAACTTAGAATTATCTCGCTACATGATTCTATTTATGGCCTAAAGATATTTCAATAATTAAAATTTTCAAAGACAAGGAAAAGAAAGCTAGATTGGTTACAATCTCCTTCTGGTTTTAGAATTACTCTGTACATATGTATATGGTATGGCTTTTCCATATGGTACCCACAGCTGGCGTTGTATGCAACCAAGTACCTTCTGCGTGATATGGCATAGAAGCTTAAGGCTGATGTCAGAACAGGTGCCCTTCAGTGGCAAAAAGCTGTGCAGGAAACAAGATGCCAGAAGATGGGAGGGAGATTAGTCCTTTAAAAAGCCTGCCTGACTTACAGAAACTATGACTACTCTCACCATATTCTCATACTAAAGCAAATGTAAAGGCCTGTGATGATATCTCTAGAGTCTAAATGCCTAGTTAATAAACTAGAAAATTGTATCAGGAAACAACTAATAAACTTCCCTCCTCTCAGATTTGTCATGGTAAAAGGTCACCATGACATCTAAGCATGCAACTAAACCCTACTTCAGCTGAGTATATAACATAACTCCTGACATAACAGCATCATCCAATGAAAGTTTAATGCCAGAATCATAAATAATTTTAGCTTTGCTAGGAATTATATTAAAAGATAAAAAGAAACAGACAAAATTATTTTAATAGTCCTTTTGCTTATATCACAATTATGTTATCATATAACAGCCTCAATATCTACATGTAACTAAAGGACATTATAGGTCTAAGGCTAGCATATATAATCAATGGCATTTGGATGGTGAAGCTCATTAATTACTTGGACCATAGCATATCTAGACATGTCTAAAACATTGGTAGAGGGTAAACACAAGCAAAGCTTCTCATTTAACTAGACACAACAAGAGATATATTTAGAAGTACTAATTGACCAGATGGGAGAAACACATATACACACAACACTCACAGACACAGACACACACAGACACATACACACCAAAAATCTACAGTCAACATTTTCATATATCCATTCACAGTTCTGTTTCTATATAAAAACAAAATTCATGGATATGAATTTGGCTCATTTAGAAAACAACTTTTTATGTTGTTAAAGTTTGTTGAGGTATATAAGACCAAAGAGAAAGAGAGAGAGAGAGACAGACACAGAGAGAGAGAGACAGAGAGAGAGACAGAGAGAGATGTATATGGTTTATTTTCTGAGTCTAAAGGTCACAAATTGGTTGCTGGTCCCCCCCTCTATAAGGGACTCTACAGAAAAGCAGCTCTGATGAAAATCCAAGGAAAAGATATGCTTACAGCACGCTGGGGAATGGGCTGCTATAAATGGGGCAAGATACTAGTGTGTGAAGTCAAAGAGATCTTTACTCTCTTTACCTTTCTTTGGCTCTCCTCAACGAAAGGTGCTAATAACACATATCCTATCGTATATGAGCAGTGACCCCACATTTAGAAAGCTACACGTGTATTCCAGACAGCATATGGTGGCGACATACACTAGCTTTAGGGCTGGCAATATGTCCCTTCTTTCTGACCTCACTTTGCACAGGTGACATAGTAAGATGAGCCTGATACACAAAAAGTCCCTTAGAAAGACAACTGAGAGCAAAGCAGACAATGGAGAAGGTGCTCTGAAGATATTTCAAGCTAGTCTTTAGCCTAAACCTTCACAAAAGGTGCCCTAAAAGCTTATACTGGAAGGAGACCAGACCAGGGCTTGAAATCAAAATCTGAGCAAGCGATTTAAAGCATATATTGTTCTCACCTGCAGTGTTCTCTGTGTGTACAAGTATTTCTTGAAAACCCAACAAGGCACTAGTCAGCTGATCAAAGATTAGGAATGTGGGGACTTCTCTCTTGAAGAGATAATTAATACCCATTGCCAATCAATAGCCAATGATGAAGTCAATGTAAAAGATTTGTTAGCAAGACGGTTATCAGATACTCGATGGCAGAATTTTTCCCTATCTCGACAACTAATACTTTTAAATACATTTCTTGTTATGTCTAGTTAAATGAGGAACTTTGCTTGTATTTACTCTCTAGTTCTCAAGTCTATCAATGTTTTAAATACTTCTGGATATTCTATAATCTAAGTCATTAATTAGAGTCATAACATAACAAATGTCTCTGATGATATAAGCTACGCATATGTAGGTTCATACAGGACACTGGCTATGTGATAACTGTTAACTGTACAAAATCCATACACTTGAAGGTACAGAATGCTTGTACCTAGTATAAAGAGCAAATTATGTTGGGAAGCTGTGGGCCTGGACTTAATAGTTAAGGAAGCTTTGACCTGGCAACTACTACAGGCTAAATTCCTCTCTTTTCTAGGTTTTCTCATTAGTAAAAAGAAGGGGTTGAATGTAATAGTATGTATGTAGGGAGCATATATAGCTTGATTTTTCTAGGAAAGTCCTGGTTTATGACTGGTGTGATTATTAATAGCCTCCTTTTTATGCTCAAAATATCCTAGTTTGGAAAACTAATCATACGTTTACCTTATCTACCTAACTTTAGTTCTCAAATGTGATATTCAGTGACTGGAGTTGCAAACTCAAAGACTATAGGGGCTAGCAGGCAGTGTAAATGTGTACAGCTGGCCAGATGTAAGACAACACAGAACAGTGAGAACTGTTTTAGCCAATTATTATCCCCAAGGAAGTGTGTCTTCAGGTTTGTAGGTCAACCTATCATTCAAGATTCACTAGGCAGACCCTAGGTTAGGAGTGGTTGTATGTCTTTACTCCCAGCTACTGAGGAGGCAAAAGTAACTAGATTCCACCCCAGGAAGAAGCACAATACCCTAACCACAGAGTAACTAAAGCAAAAAGGCTTGAGAGTGTAGCTCAAGTGGTAAAATACAGGCATGAGGTCATGAATTCAATCTCTAGCACTACCAAATTAAAAAAAGAAATTTACCAGGCCCCAGGCTTTATGTTAAATAACCCAATTTTCAAATTCACAGCAACTAAACTCATATATTTTTAAAACAGTGAGATAAACTGAACTAAAAATGTCCATGGGCTGTACAGAACTTAGAGATGATGAGTTTACAGCCTTTGAAATGTACATATACACAGGTATATTTATGAATGGAAAAGCACAAAAGCAATTTCCGCACGGGCTATTTGGGTTACTTTGCTGGTATTCTAACACTGCTCCTACACACAAAACAATAGTAAGTATGAACTCTAGGCATTTGTGTTTAAATTAAAACTGCAAAGCAACAATATTACACACATCAGTGTTAGCCTTTCAGATTTCTAGGTAGCTGGAATGGGAATCATGGAAGAACAACGAGAGGACTTCTATTTTTCATTCTAGACCTATTTACTTTCTGCAACTAAAAGACAGGTAAAATAAAGAGAGAATCTATCAGAAATGTGGACAGGAAATTCACAAAGCTTGTCACTATATCAGAAAGATCTACATCAAGTTTCACATTCTCCCTAAGCAAAAGTCAACAGCTGATGCTCAGCAGGTGAGAGCTTCCCATCTTGCACCTGTAGTGTTAGCCTCAGGGTGGGATTGGTAACAGGATCTTGCAGAAAAGTGGGTGAAATTAAATATCTTCCGAATTCAGAACATAGTAGGAGTTTTGGTATAACAGACACACACTACCATTATATATACAGCAGAGAGATTGCAAAGTTCTCTGGCTCTTTTACTTTATTAAAGCAAAAGGTATTTTAAAAATTAGATTTATTCTGGAATCCTATACTTCTGAAAAAAATCATTTTGCTTCTAGCTCCTTCCCTGACAATTCCTAAGAAACGCTCTTGCCAGTTAGAAATGTGCTATCTTTTCTTCTATTCTATGGCACCCAATGAAAGTCTGATCTTAAAGCATCCCAACAATGGCAGTAAATGCATTCCAGATTTCAGCAGCACTTTACTACGCTTTTGAATCACTGTTATTCTTCCGGGATTCAGTTTAAGAGTGGCAATTACGAGTCACTTTAATGTCTGAGGAAAGAATAAAAAGAGACCCGCAGAGGGAAGGCCAT